CCCCGATCCATATTACAAGTTGTCACTAATTTAGTGCAAATGGACCAGAGGGAGTAGTATATTTCGTTGTGCTTGAAGGGGATGTCTTGACTTTCTCCTGTAATATTCTTGAAGGGGTTGACATCAACATTGTGCAGATTTGGAAACAGATTTTTTTTTCTTTTTGACATTCTTTCTTAGATTTGAAACAGATGAGACTTAGAGGTGCCGTTACCGCAAAAGTCATGTTTTATACTCCCTCCGTTCCCAAATATTTGTCTTTCTAGGCATTTCAAATGGACACAACATACAGATGTATGTAGACTTACTTTAGAGCGTAATTCACTCATTTCGCTCCGTATGTAGTCACTTGTTGAAATCTCTAGAAATACAAATATTTGGGAACGGAGGGAGTAGCCATCTATTAGTAGGGTTGTGTTTCATGAAGTGGGAGCAGATCCCTCTACCAGAATCTGTGCTGCCACTCATCTCCCATCCGATGGCCCAGGTTTCTTTCTTCTATTTTTCGCACCTGAAGCTCACATTCTATACTGGCCGCGCTACTCGGTGAGCTTGGTGCTACCTCACCAACTGTGTCTAGACTCTCGAGCTTGTCCCTGGTCAGTGCTAACAAGGAGCTGTCCCACGTTCTGGCTTATTAAGGTCACCTTCTTTGCCTCTCCGTGCATCGAGTATGGGCAGGGCATCTTCTGTTTGAACCAAGCCACCGGCAGCCCCTACCAAAGCCCGGTTTGCGGGGCTGCGCTTCGCGTACTGTTCGAGGAAAGGTTCAGCTTCAGTAAGATATGTCGAGGATGACGGTTGCGCGTCCCCACACTCCCGTCTGATGTACACAGCCCTGCCAACAGGTAAACCGATTGAATTAACAAAAACATTTGTAAGGATACATATGCTATGGAGAGAGGGAGGGAGATTAGCAATGTACCATTCGTCCAACATTTTGGCAAGCTCTTTTTGCTTACTTGGTGATGTTCCCCAGATCTCCATTTGCCTATAAACACATTCGGCGACGTTAATATCAGGGGAAGCGCTTTTTGTGCCTTCAATACAAAAGCAGCGGAGTCACAATCGACAACTCGGCTACATCAATCGCACATATCTAGAGTCTTCAAGCATGAAACCACGACTTGCTCACTTGCCCAAGGAAATTTCCTTGCATTTCAAAGACATCTGTGTGGCCATGTATAGTAGAGGAGCAGCGGAAGAAAGCTGAAGCTTGAAAATTAGGTAAGATTGGCCTACACAACATACCTCAGGTAGTAAGTTCTGTAAGCAGATGTGCCTTCTTTGAAGAGGGTGGAGAGGCCATTTCGAATTAAAAACGTCCTTATCTGTCAGGTAGAAATATAAGAAAGGTGTTAGAAGATACATATATTCAGCCAAGTTACAGTTGTAGGCCTCCCCCATGCACAAGAATAGAAAATCTAGTTAAGAAAAGTAAGGTCCCCCATGCAGCATAGTATTCATATCTCAACAAGTGACCAACGAGCAAAGTGCCAAACGAAGCTGAAAACAATGGCAAAGTACCTTATAGGTCAGGAATTTTAGTTTAACCATCAAATTTGAATCCTCCTCAACCAGACCATCCTTAGTTGACGATCTTGAATTCGAAGCACCATTGGTATTTTCTGGTAAAGTGTTGCTGTCTTCGGAAAGTTCAGCAGCCTTGAACAGGTTTACATCAACAAAGAAACCTAACCATGAAACATAAGTCAGCCAAAGATGCGTCAGGACAGGTATTAATTGCAAGAGCTGGGAATTAGTTGTCAAAAGAGGTGAGAGTTTCTTGGAACAAAAGGTTCATCTTACCTCTGTACAGTGGCCACAACTCTTGATTTTTCCTACAAAGAAAAATGCAGGATTCGTTAGAGCTAATAAATATCTAAAAGAGAGCTAATGAGACACTTTCTCTATTTCATATTACAAGGTGGGCGTGGGAACTAAGAAGCCATTAATAGTATAGGAAAATGACCATGGTAGCCAGGAACTTATTTTCTAGGGAAGCAGAGCAAATAGTTAGTATGTGTATTTAATCATAAATGGCAAAGGGAGATGAGAGATAAACGATGGGAAAATGTTACCTCATCTCTTGTTGATAACGTCTAAAAGCAGAATCCTTGTGGACATGGATAACCATCTTGTAATACAAGTTATCATTTGAAAGAGAATCAATTTTTTGGTAATTCCAGTAACATTTGAAAGCTGCAGGGAGATTTCTCTTCTTCATGAGACGGATCATCTCCTGTAACAGTCCAGAACAACAAGCTATTGACTTACTGACATTGCAGTTATCATGAATTTAAAATTGAAGTATATCTATTACAGTCAAGAAGTATCTATTGTTGGACAAGAGCCAATAACATCTGCTAACCTGTAATTTCTTTGTTGCATAGTCCATGGGATGTGCTTGCAAAAAATGAGTGACAACTGATCTATCAGCATTTCGAGATTGAGCGTCAAGACCACTGTTTCCAAACCAATCGCAGTGGTCTGAACACAATGATGACCCAGCATTTTCAAGAAGTGCTTTAATTTGCTGTCATGTAAAAGTAGAAGTTACAGAAAGGTAGAACCAATACAAAAGTTAAGACAAATCATGAAGGAGATGAGAATGCCACTTCACAACATTAAATATTACCTGCTTCTCATCCGACCTATTAGCAGCGTATATTTCTCGTAAACTTAGTCCTAAATCAGAGTCGCCTGCATATAATAGCACCTATCTGAATCAATGGAACATATAAAGTGTTCACAACTTCACAGCTCAGAACCATCAAACAATCTCAGAACATGTTTAAATGCATCAGAAAATCTTTGTTAGGATAGAAGCATAGTGTACTGATATTAAGGTTCCCAGATCTGTGACACCCATTTCCAGGAGTTAATGTTTACTCTTTTGTGTTAGTTTGAGCTTGAACCACCTATGATAGGCTGAGCTTAAAACCACCGGCTGAACATAAGTTCATACTCCATACTTTCATTCATGTTTGCCGGAATCACTTCTTTTGTATTAGCTTATGCAGAATTGGTCAAGTGTGATCAACCTCTGTGATCTACAGTTCCAACCATGATATATCAATTGTTAATGATTAAAAATAGTTAAAATACATATAGTTGTGTGGGCACTTTTTTGGAAAATGGTGAATATCCGTATCTATATCGGACCATCAGGTCAAATATGTATTGACTATATGCATCAATGTCGCAAAGTTTACCATGCTCAGAGTCAGAAGCAGACTAGTGACTAACAGGAATAGCACTACCATATGGTATAATATAAAAACAAAAAAGGTTGCCTCGTTTTCTCAGATGAGAGGAAATTTTATTACTAAAGTTGTACCAGAGCTGCAACAATTAATTTGGATCGAAGGGAGTAGGTAACTTCAAAAATTTAAAGAAACTTAAAATGGAGATGAAAGCGTGGCCAAGGTCATTTATAAATAAACTGAAACCTTCTTAATCAACTCATATATTCACTCAAACAACAAGACAACTTCATTATAGCGTCTTACCTCCATCTAATGAAGGTTGTTGAAAGTTCCTCAAAACTTCCATTTGAACTGAACTTTCGCGACTGACAATACGGGCAACCAGACCTTCAAGTATCTCACCTTGCACGATTACATGATCCTTTGACCCTAGAGCAGATAGTCAGTACTTCGATGGTGGGGAGAGATGAAAATATGCAGTTCAGTTTAGAGCAGCAGTAAAAGATAAAGAGTGTCAGGCAATTTTTTTTTTCAAGATAGTCACCTCGCACAGATATATCAGCTATTTCACCAAGGACTTTGCAAACGGATGTGGCAGTCCCCTCTTCACACAAAGCATCGTAGGCAGCAAAGAATGAAGTGGCGGATTTCCTAATGGAGATGTAAACAGAAAGCACAATGATGTTATGAGCGGCCCCAGCGCCAAATGCATATGTACGTTCATCTGAGAGCGATACTTGCATGCCATCAAACAGATGAATGCCATGAAAATATCTGCACAGTGACATAGACACAAAAAAACCTAGCTGTTAAACAATTTCTAGCAATAATGCAATATAGAAAGTGCACTGGAGAACTCCAATAGGCTATAATTCAAAGGATGCACATCCATGTAAAGAGTAGTTGATGATACACACGAGAACGAAACAAGAGTCAGTAACATTGGCTGATCATTGTATTCAAGCAACACTTACTGTGGAAACATAATAACACTGCATTTGTTTTCAAAACACTGCTCGATTGCAAAACATGAGATGCCAAAATCAAAAAGTGGTTAGGAGGTCTGCTGGTGCAACTACATGAGGTATCATTATTAAAGTCTTTCACCCTTTCTTATAGTCCCATTTAGACAAGTCAGCCAAACACTCTGGACAGAAAACTTTCCACATGAAGTTATCAGATGAGCACCTCGTGGAGAATAGCCAGACATGGTTTGTTGGTAGGCGCCATTTCCGACAAAATTCAATCAACTTTGGAGTAGAATAGAATTGAGGCTTGCCATGACCCAATTCTGTCACAGCTGTAATCACAGCTACAAAACCAAAATAGAATTGATAATGTGGAAATTGATGAACTGAAACAAATGCAGCAAGTGACTTCATAGTTCAGAAGGAAAATGAAAGAATAATGCAGCATTTATAGCCTGAATACAATATCAGAATGAACTAACGATGACAAACAAAGTATACACTGAGCACTATTTAGTCAAGAGAAAAATAGGCATACCATAATCATCCTTAGGCCTTTGCCCATGGTCTCCTAATACAGCCGTGACAAGTTCCATTGAAATGCTTATTCGGTTTTTCTAGAAGCACAAAACAGAGGCAAAATAAGAAATCTTAATGGAACTGCTGACAACAGAAGGCACAAAGCATAAAGTAAGCATATGCTTGATTGTGCTTAATTCCAACAAACTAGCTCCAACAGTCAACTAAGCATCAAATCATTTTGTAATTTAATTGCTAGGCTTTAGATTTTATATTTGCTTATGTGAGTTTGTACTAATTAAGAAATATGCAAATTAAAGAGACTTTCAGACTAAAATATAAGTGCAAAAATATATATAAGAACAATATGTTTCCCCTAGTTGCATTCATACTGTATGCTAAAGAATTGGCGTGTAACAAGTAGTGAAAGGCTAACAGACACATGAACATGGAAAACAAAAGTCAACACATGAAATTCTTGACAAAAGCTGCATTGGATGTGGAATACCTCGAGACAATCATTGAATTCCGCTTGCATTTTAGGAGCTTCTCTCCCCCAAGCTTCACGAAACAAGCGACCCAAAACAAAAACGCCCACAGCAGTGTAGCTATAAGCAGAATTTGCCTTCAGTCAAAACACAGATAGCTCAAGAAATAAAATGCTGAGAAAAGAGCAGAACGTACATATTTCCAAAGCTGTTCTTGGCATATGCACCACCACGGTTACCAGCATACATGAACAAAGACCCTGAATGCTTGAGCGTAACCTGAAGAAAACAAAATATCTTAAGCAGGATAAACACTTCTTTTTAGGCAGCGGGGTAAACACATCAACCAATCAGTATAAGCTCTTTAGAACAGTTAACTAGAAGTGGGAAAATGAGGAATTAGATATACCTCCATGGTAGCTAATCCTTGTGACACCATCTCAATCATCCGGGTTCTTGACTGCAATCACACAGATGATAGTTAATATCCCATTTAGGACCTCAAATGAGCGAGAACCCGCTGTTACTAAAATATGTACTGTATAGTCAGTTCATTAATATATGTTCATTAAGAACAATAAATATGATTGTATTGATCGAACCCATCAAGGTCTCTATCTACA